AGGAATTTGGCAAAATAATATGCAGAGTAAGACCTTACTCGGTTTTTATTTTTTTTATCAAAAAGACATGCAATTCCATAAAGCTAGAATTGCTACAGTATGTGTAACTCAAGTGCAGTGACATCTGAAATAGATTTGGACACACAGGGCATGTCTACACATGTATTAATGTGCCGTAGTTAGTACGCATTAATAACAGGTACTAATTAAATACGCAGTAACCAGTGCTATGGCTTAGTAGTGCTGACACATGCCTTTTAAGTGACGGTAATGTGTACTAGACTAATTCTACTGCACATTAGCACTATAGCACAGCTTTTGCTGTAACACACTAGGGTGTAGTAGAATTAGTCTACTGTGCATTTAGTGTCTCATGTAAATGTGCCCACAGTTGTGTAAATCTAAGAACCAGGTTCTCAGAAAAAGGAAAACAAAAAATATATAAACATTAAATTTTATGTTTAAATAACATAAAATTTAAACTCTAACAATGCATTTAGAGTTGCATGCCCAACCTGCTCAAGCACATTTCAGCTCAAAGCTAGTACTCCTTGGAGGGAGTGGGGTGATACAACTAAAAAACAAACAGAGAAATGTGAACTAGTTTCCACTTCACCTGCAAAGAAGAGGGTGATACCCTTCCCACCTCTATGGTAAATGATTGCTCAAAGAGCTAACAAAGAATTACACAAACAAATTCAGTGCAACTCAAAAGATGAATGATCGAGCAAAGATGAAAGTACCCCAAGGCAGATACGTAACTGGTTGGCTCACTGTATTCAGTGGGTGCTTCTACATGAGACACTACTGTGCTGTCATTACCCTACTTTGATTCCTGCTCCACTGCATAGGCAGCTGAGGGAGTCAATTTAATTGACCAGTGTTGTTCACTCCACAGGTATTAACAAACATCTCCCTTTTTTATGATTTTGATCTTCAGCAAAATTGCCCAAAGAAATTTTGTGATCTGCCCATGCCTCCTGGTCTCTCCTGTCCTACTTCAAAGGTCTGGAAACTCTTTAGCTCTTTTCAAAATCACAGATTTGCCCATGGAGATCACTATTTTAGTTTTAGGGTTTTAGCCTCAGGTAAGCAGGAAAAGGAGGGTGAATCAGCTCTGTCCTCAGTCTATGGAACCATAACTGTGGAAAAATCTTTACTTCTTCATTCTGCCTTCTTGAAAACAAAAAGTGTGTTATATTCCAGGACTTATTTTATGCAAGAAAATACAATAACAAAGTGCAGTACGTGTTTATATTGTTGCTCCTCCCCTCATTCTAGTTAGGAACATACATCCATGAACGACGTGTGCCCCTGGCGGCTGGGGAGGCACAGTGGCGGTGGGAGTATGGTGGCAATAAGCAGGGGAGCTTCCGCAGATGCCACTGGTGCTGTTAGTGGCAGGGAGTGGGGGAGATGGCAAGTGCCGACCAGGGATCAGCAACCACCCACAGAGGCTGCTGGCAGCGGCGGTCAGAGAGAATTGCAGACCGCCCGCGATCTGGATGGTGGTGTCCAGCAGGGTGACGAGCAGTAACTGCCTGCAGGTACTGACAGCATCAGCGGCGCCTTTTTGTAGGAGTGCACATGCACCCGCATGCACCCCCTATGTGTCGCCCCTGTATACTTCTTAACTGCATTACTGTGTTCTATTAAATTTCAAGTCAGTCCTCCTTAATCATGTAATTTGCTCTGAATTTACACCAGTTTGCCAATACAGTTCTGATATCAAGGTGTCTTGAATGACTTAATAGATAAGGTGAATACTGGAAATATATATTGGCTATCATGTCCCTGTTCTTCCCTTTTTGCTGCAACTGCAGTTGTAAGGCTGTCTTGAATCTAATTTATCAAACATTATTTTTTATTTAGGCAAGTTAATTTATATTTGAAAGGTTTGGATACCACTGAAGAGTTATAAAATCTCCATAGCTGGAGATTTTATAAGTGCAGATAAGACATTGATCTGGGATATTTAGTCGGGAATAATTCTGATTTTAGGAGGTGGTTGAACTAACAGTGTCATTTCTAGCCCTATTTTTCTATGAATATTACAAAAATGGTTCCACTAGATACACTGCAGTTATTTCAGTCACTCCACTGTTTGAGCCAGTCCACTGGTGTTGATAGGAGTCCTAAGTTCAATGGTTCTGTAACCACACGAACTGAACAGTGCAAACACACTTTGAAGCGAACCCCACTGAGGCTGGTGGTATTGCAGTTCACAAGTTCAGGCACTTTAAATGAATTAAGTTAAACATAATTAGAAAGTGTTATTTTATTCATATCTTACAAAAGCAAAGCTTCACAACATGAACTACGCTAGTTATTTCAGAATTATTTTGTTTTCTGAAAACCAAATCACTACACGATAAAATGTAATTTACAACTGTAACTCAAGTTTCATCTTCTGCATATAAAATATGCTTTTTACATTGAAGTACACATTATTAACAAAGCAGGTACTAGAAGCACATATACAAAGATTGCTCAATGAAAAATGCTTCAGCAGGGAATAGATTTTTCCTGCACAGAATATCCATTTTTCACAGAAACTTAAACTGATGGGAAACTTGCCAGTGAAGATTTGTTACATTCCCTTTGTCAAATAAAAGTAAAATTCAATAACAAAAGCCATAAGAACTGTTCAAATTTTGCTATGCAACAACACTGAAACTTGTCTCTTCCAACATTGCTAACTGTTATGTGTTAAAACACAAATTGGTGTCTTAGGCCAAATTCATTTGAAACTACACATGGCATTTGCAACAATCAAATATTATTCCTTATTACTTACTTGCTTCACAGTTCTTTATTTTAAATATTAACGAGACCATTTTTCTCCTACCAGCATTTTCAATCTAAATTTGAACGTTCACTGAACAAAAAGAGTCCTCAGTCTCAGAATGTTACAATATCTGTTAGGAGTACTATAAATAGTGCATGTTAAAAAAAATTATCCAAAATATCTATAAAATATTCCATAACAATAAAAACAAAGGATCACAACAACTAACATTTTCCAAATACAGAACTTAACACAGTCAAGCTGTGGAAAAAGTATCAACTCATCCTGAAACTTCCTTGTTAATACAAGTTAAAAACTAATCAGTTCCTCATAATATGCTATAAGGATTTGTTTTTAAAAAGTTAGTGCAGTAAAGCACATTCAACTCAATATAAAATAGGTCTAGTAAACTAGTTCTGATCCTACAGATCCTTACTGACAAGCATTCCCCATCAACTTGGCAAAAATAAGGCCTACTTGTGAAAGTAAAGGTTTACAGGATCACATCCTCAAAGAACTCTGCAATACTAATTGTGCTCTTTATTTTAAATTATAGTAAATACTAGAATATACACTTTTAGTACAAAATTATGAAAAGCTACCTTTTTAATAAACTAAAAATGCACCTTCCAAACATACTCAGTAGTCAGAAGGAAATAAGCGTAATCAAGTTATGGTTTGGCACAACAAAATACATAGTAATATGTTGTGTGTTTGTTTTACAAAAAGAAGAAGTAGTTAAGGCCCCAATCTGAAACTGGCGTCAGTAGTGCTAGATGCAGTCACTGGGGGATCCACCCCACAGACACACTGAGAGGACAGGGACTTAAATACCAAATCCTATCCTCTCTCTCATGAGTAGTCCCATTGCATGAGAAGAAAAAGGATCTGGCTATAATTGTTTAACATGAAGAGTTAAAGCTTAAATTCTCTTTTAAATTTCCTTGGATATTTTCCTGAAGAGTAAACAGTATCTCAGTATTAACCAGTACCAACAGCAGAATTAATTAGGTTTTTTTAATACTGAGTACTACTTCTCCAATCTTGTAACACTCCTCTTGTTCATAGACATGTGGACACTCTCACAGCTGTCCAGTGGAGATGGACTATGCATGCTTTGGCTACCTTGATGTGTCCTCAAATTTCCACCTACCTCTAGGTATCCAGACTGGTCTTTAGCCTGTAATTTCCCAAGGCATGTTCTCTCTACAAATACAGATTCAAGTACTGAATGATTACAGGGATCAGATTACCAATGAAAGTTGTAGCCTAAAGGATCAAAATGATGAGAAGAAGGATAAAAAATGTCTACACTGTAAAATTGCAAATGGTAGTTTTGCCATTGACTTCAAGAGGGAGGAACACTGGTCCTACCTACACACCAAATGTTAATTTATTTCAGATTTGTCAGAAACTGTTTTATAACTTCCACAACTTTGCATGATGACATATGTTACTATTCAATTTCAGTTAAGAACAGCTGGTTAAACTTGCACAAATAGAATAGCTTTTGCAAAGTT